AAATATAATACTTCATTCAATACTACAGCTTCTTTCCCAATGCATTGGGAAAGGGAGTTTAGTCTTCCCTTTGTCAACATTGCTGATGGAACAGTTGGTCTGAATGGCAATGCACATTGGTAGTCCCAACAGTCTCACTTGAAGAGGTACTCCGTTATATTTTTCCTCTTTTCCCTTTCTCCTGCAAGTAAATGTATGTGACTACAAGTTGAAATAAACCAAAATAACTTAAATAGAAGAATCAATCCTCTCTTGGCGTCGCTGCATGATTTCCTCAAGTTCTGACTTTTCTCTATTGTTCTGTTAAGAAAAAAAAAGATAATGAATTTTATTTAATAAAAAAAACCATTACCTACGTAAAGCAAATCACTTTGGTAATTTAGCATTTTCGAGAGTGAGTTCACTCTATGGTTTCTTCTCTCCAATTTCCCAGAAGCAATTTGAGATGACCTGCAATTGTTTTCTCTTCCAGCAATCTCACAATTTTAAACAAAGAACTATTGTCATGCTCTGACTTGCCAGAGATTCAAAACTAGGTCCTGAACTGCTGCAGTTCCTGCAGAAACAAAAATCTCGTTACTCCTGTTCTTGCAAAAATGAAATAAATGTTGCAGCCACCAACTGCAAAACCACGATTCAAGGTGAGCATTAGTCCAGAAGTATACACACATATAATATCCTGGTGGGTCCTCAGAAGGCAAGCTAAAAAAGATGCAAGCCATATTATTACTTTAAAGATAGACCTGCAGTTTTACTACAGAAAAATTCTTTTTTTAAAATTGATTTCACAGTACATGGCAAAAACATGAACTATAAGAAGGGTACATATAGAGAGTTAACGATTGAGATTTAAAATAGACATAAAATGCAAATGTCCTTGGAGAGAAAATAAATTATTAGGCTTAATAGACAACTAAATAATTAGCAGAAATAACTACTGCAACAAATTTAGCAGCCCATCTGGAGAATCTATTTGTAATCTTTCAGCTAAGATAAGGAAAATAATTTTCCCCCTTTGATTAGGCATGATTGTAGCTGAGAGAGGTGCTATAAATTCACCACTATGTCATATAAAAGGGAATTGCAAGGGGATATATAAAATTGTTTCTTCTAATGAACTTGGACAAAGCTGTTTTTGCAGAGAAATATTATGTAGTCTTTTTCCTTACAGGAAGGTGGTACTATCGAAGAAGTGTAAGTTGATCTAATACAGCGGTGTCAAACTGGATTTCTTCAAGGACTCGATCAGCATTGTAGTTATCCTCCGCAGGCCGGCCCGGGGGGGGATAGATGCCTCCTGCAACACCCTACTGGCCAAAACGGGGTACGGGGGGGGGGCTTCAGCCCTATTGCACCCCATTTTGACTGGCAGAATGCTGCAAGAGGCTGTCCAGGCAAAAAAATGGGGTGCATGGGGGTGCCTGCAGCCTCCCCATGCCCCGTTTTCACCGGAAGAGGCACCCCAGACTGGTCCTTGGCTATTTCCAGGTGGGGCCCATGGCCAGATCTAAGCACCTCTGGTCTAATACTTCACCCAGTGATTTCATTTGGTCTCCAAAGAAATTAGCTCAAATTCCAGTATCAACAGGGAGTAAGATAAAACAGTGAGTTACTTGAAGCAAAACCCTTAGAAATTTGAATTGGATTATCTTCATAGAGCTGGTACAAAATACTACGGTAACATCCATGCATCATATAGCAGGTGATTAATGACTTTTGCACTGCAACTTCTGATGGCACTAAACATACTTATTATCTTTATAATCGCAAAATGGAGGATGGTATTTGAACACTTTTGGGGCTGGGGGCAGGTTAGCCCTTCCTTATTTGTTCCAGGTTATCAAGGCTTGGAAAGAGACACTTAGATATCCAAATCCTCTCATCTGATTAATGTTAAAGCCATTAATTTTGCAGGAATAGTGGTGTGTAACAATTAATTTGGAGAAAATGACTATGGTTTTAAACACAATCCATCTGATCTGGGAATAATTGTCTTTGCTATTGAACATTGCTGAGATCATAGGATCACAAAGGTCCAGAGCTGCTTTCAAAATGGCCTAGACAAAAGGCCTAAAGTTAAAAGGGGGGGGGGGGAACCAGAATAAAATGTAGGGATTTTTGTTAAATTACTTTTACTAACCCTATAAAAATGCATTTTATCTGGAAGTTACATTCAGTTCTTAAATATTACCCCCTTTAAATACCTTTTGTGGCCAATGGACCCCTCCCCCCAAGATTTAACTCGAGATTTAAATCATAACATTTCTTCAAACCTTCTCAGACTCCTGTGTGATGACATCGTAAACCCACAAGTTGAGAACCACTGAACTACCTTATTAGCACAGCAACAAAGTCTGCTAGTTTATCTACAATGCTTTAAAGCAGGGGTGTCCAACCTTGGCAACTTTAAGACTTGTGGACTTCAACTCCCAGAATTCCTCAGCCAGCAAAGCTGGCTGAGGAATTCTGGGAGTTGAAGTCCACAAGTCTTAAAGTTG